GGAGGACGGCGACGACGCGAACGACGAAGAAGGAGGAAGGACGGCGACGCCGACGACGGCAACGACGAGGGAGGAGGGAAGACGACGACGACGACGACGACGACGACGACGACGACGACGACGACGGCGACGAAATAGGAGGGACGACGACGAGACGCCGACGACGGACGACGACGACGACGAGGGAGGAGGAGGAAGGACGACCACGGCGACAACGACGACGGAAACGACCACGACGCCAAAGAGGACGACGACGACGAACACGAGGAAAGACAGAGGACGACGTAGGCGACGACGACGACGACGACTTCGACGACGACGGAGACGACGAACGACGCCGACGCCGACGACGACGACGAAGACGACGACGACGACGTCGCCAACGAAGACAACGAGGAAGGAGGGAGGACGACGACGGCGACAACGACGACAACGACGAGGGAGGAGGGAGGACGGCGACGACGCGAACGACAAAGAAGGAGGAAGGACGGCGACGCCGACGACGGCAACGACGAGGGAGGAGGGAAGACGACGACGACGCGACAACGACGACGATGACGACGACGACGACGACGGCGACGAAATAGGAGGGACGACAACGAGACGCCGACGACGGACGACGACGACGACGAGGGAGGAGGAGGAGGAAGGACGACCACAGCGACAACGACGACGGAAACGACCACGACGCCAAAGAGGACGACGACGACGAACACGAGGAAAGACAGAGGACGACGTAGGCGACGACGACGACGACAACGACGCGGGAAGAGGGAGAACGGCGACGACGACGACGACGACGCAAGAGCGCGCGCGCACGCTTTTGTTCAAAATCCGTGTTGCGAAACCTTGTGTTTTTGTATTTTTTTGGACACGATTTTGAAATCCTTCCGAAACCAAAGGTTTTTGAAGGATTTCGGCATGCGCGCGCGACGACGCGCGCGTGTACATTTCGTCCTATCTTTTGCAGGGGATTCTCGCGACGGCACACGCGCGAGGGCGTTCGAAAGATTTCGACATGAGCGCGCGCGAAGCCCGTTTGGTAGCATTTTGCGAAAATCTTGAAAAACCTATGGTTTTCTTAAGATTTCCCAAGAGCTCGCGCGGAAGCTTTTTTAGCAAATCAGTGTTGCGAAACCCTGTGTTTTTGTATGTGTTTGGGAAACTCGATTGCGAAATCCTTCCCGCACCGAAGGTTTTTGAAGGATTTCGACATGCACGTGCGACGATGCGCGCGTGTGCACTTCGTCTCATTTTTTGCAAGGGATTCGCGAACAAGTGCTATGTTAGAGCAACAAATGTCACCGCATAGTGTTTTTTACCAAGGAACCTCAGGGAGGGGGGGGAAACCGGCCTGGCTGGGATGATATGATTTCATATTTAGGATGGACGGGTGTGCGGAATATAAATATAAATATATATATATATATATATATATATGAAATTATACTATCCCAGGGGGAAGCGTTAAGTCCGGGGGGGGGTAGATTCTATTCTCTTCTTAGAAAGGAGAATCTACGTGGTGCAACCCACGTGGTGCCAGCTATGCGACGCAATCCATGTGGTGCAAGCCATGTAGTGCAATCTTCGTGGCGCAATCTATGTTGCGCACAGAACGTAGCGCAAACGATGTGGTGTGTAAGCGATGTTGCGCAATTCGAATGGTGCAATAGATGTGGTGCCACGTGCGTGGCGCAATCTATGTTGCGAGAGCAATGTGGTGCCATGAATCGGTTGGAATCTACGTGGTGCAATCTACGAGGCGCACTTTGTGTGGTTACAGCTAGGTAGTGCCATCGATGTGGAGCAAGCAATTCGGCGTCGGCTATGTGTGCAGCGTATGTGGTGCAAGTTTTATGGCGCAATCAAACTGACTCCGGCGTTCTCGAACAAAACGCCCAAGTACAACGCCTAGTAGAAGATGGCGCAAGGGCGCCCCCCGCGCCCCCCATCTCAGTGTTCATCTAAGGGAGCAGGCCGCGGTTTGCAAATGTAGGCGTTTATCTCGAAACGACTCGCACTCCCCCGCGTCGACCGCCCCGAATTTTGAAATTGGGGCCCGGGGGGTTGGACCTGCTTCAACACGCATTCGAGACGGGCTTTTTTGTATTCGAAAACCACGGTATGTATGTATGCATGTGTAGATGTATGTATGTATGTATGTACGTACGTACGTACGTATGTATGTATGTATGTATGTATGTATGTATGTATCTAGATGCATGCATGTGTACATGTATGCATGTGTGTGCATGAATGCATGTGTGTATGTGTGTATGTATGTGTATATGTATGTATGTATGTATGTATGTATGTATGTATGTATGTATGTATGTACCTATGCCTGATTGTACGGTACATCGACAGAATGTTGCACCACCTGGTGCCCAAGACAGCGGACACCTTTTTAAAATAAACGCTTACGTCTGAGCCTCCCCCCCCCACCTCCAGCTAATATTGGCTGCTGTCCGGGGTCGCCGAAACAGGTCGGTGATGCAACATTCTGTCGATCGCCTGGGGGATTTCAGAACAGCTCCTTCTCGCATGCCCCCAATATTAGATGGAGGTTGGGGGGGAGGCGGGGTGTTGAAGCACACATTTCAGAGCTCGCCTAAAGTGATGCAGCACTTTGTCGACGTACGGTATGTAGATATATGCGTGTATATCAGAGTGTGTATGTATGTGTATGTGTATGTGTATGTGTATGTGTATGTGGATGTGTATGTGTATAGGTATATGAGTATGCATGTGCTTAGGTACAGGAAGATGTAGATGTATGCGTACATATGTGTATGCATGTATGTATGTATGTATGTACGTACGTACGTACGTATGTATGTATGTATGTATGTATGTGTATGTAGGTGCGTATGGAGGTACGTACATGCATGCATGTACGTACGTACGTACGTGCGTGTATATATATATATATATACGTTCACGTGCATCTACATAGCAAATATATACACGTGCATAATATCCACCACCGTGCCCCGAGATACGACATGAAGTATCCTCGGGTCCGTTGGGGTTCCCTGTCCTCAGTCCTGAGTGACTGGCCTCGAAATGGCCCGGACCCCGCTCTGCCAGATGCCCCAGGGCGCGCCGCGTGCCTCTCTGGGCTTGTCGCGTGTTGTCGCGTGCCTTTTGCTGTTGCTGAGAAGGCCCCAAAACGGCCCACGAGGGCCCAGGGTCGCCCTCAGATCACTCCAGAACGCTCAAGACGGACCCTAGACGGCCCAAGATGCTTGCCTGCTTCCTGTCCTGCCCCCCCCCCGCCTCTTCCTCTTGGCCCAGCTGGGTTGGCGCACGCCCTTTCTGGCCTTCGAGCCTCCCATGCCTTCTCCTCGTTTGCAAGTTTCACTCTCCGTATTGACGAGTGCAGCTCCCAATCGCAGCTGCGGCCGCCTTTCGCCCCAGGCGTGTCGTCACACCTTCTTTCTTCTCCCCAGTTTGGGTCGGGGGCGCTCGCCCGCAGGCTCATGTCGACAATCGAATACGCTGGCCTCAGCTATACCGCCGTTCGATCGATCGAACCTCCACCCCGCAGGACGAGGAGAAGGACGAGGAGGAGGAGGAGGAGGAGGAGGAGGAGGAGAAGGAGAAGGAGGAGGAGGACGAGGAGGAGTGAGGCGTGAGGAGGAGGAGGGGGAGGAGGAGGAGTGAAAGGAGGGGGGGGGAAGGGGAGTAGAACCAGGAGAGAGGGGACGATGAAACAGTGGAACGGTGGAGTGAGTAAGTATTGGATGATACCGGCCCTGGGGCTATAGGGCTATAGGCCCTAGGGCTATAGGGCTATAGGGTTATAGGGCTATAGGGCTATAGGGTTATAGGGCTATAGGGCTATAAGGCCATAGGGCTATAGGGCTATAGGGCTATAGGGCTGTAGGGCTATAGGGCTATAGGGCTATAGGGCTATAGGGCTATAGGGCTATAGGGCTATAAGGCTATAAAGCTATAAGGTTATAGGGCTATAGGGCACCCAAGCACCCCCGGGCACCCCTGGGCCCCAGGGCACCCCCGGGCCCCAGGGTACCCCCGGGCACCCTGGCACCCAGGCCGGCCACCGAAATCGGCGACGAACCTTACCTAACCATATGAATCTGCGAGGACCCCTACAGAGGCAAGCTCTGATTGGGGAAATATTCGTTTGTCTCTTGTTGTTCATCGTGGTTTGTTGTTTGGTTTGTTTCAATGTGTTTTGTTAGTTCTTCATCACCCACATCCGGGCAAACTGTGGGTAATTCCTCCACAAAAGGAGTCGATGTGTAAACCCTCCAGAGGAGAAGGAGGGGAAGGAGGAGGAGCAGCAGGAGGGGGAGCAGGAGGATGAAGAGCATAATGACGATATGAGAAGGATTCCTTCTTCCTCCTCATCATCGCCTGCATCTCATCCTCTCTCTCTCTCTCTCGCTCTCCCTCTCTCCTCGCCTTGACATGGCCCCATGAAGGTCCCGAAGACGAAACAAATATCGAATAATAAGCATAAACAATAGCATTAATAGTACGAATGCGAATAATAATACTAAAAATAATAGTAATGATAATAATAATGGTAAGACTACTAGCAACAACAGTAGTAACAATAAAAATAAACATAAAAACAATACTAAGAATCCTAAGAGATATCTACGATCACAAGGGGGCGAGTTCTTGATATTCGTATTCTTCTGGTCAGGGGGCGGAGATACAGCAGGGCCCATACACATATATATATATATATATATATACACATGTGCAAAGAGAGAGGCACAGAGAGGGAGAGAGGGAGAGAGAGAGAGAGAGAGAAAGAGAGAGAGAGAGTGAGAAAGAGAGAGAGAGAGGGAGGGGGAGAAAGAGAGAGAGAGAGAGAGAGCGATATATATAGAGGCACAAAGAGAGGGATACATATATATGTATATGTATGTACAGATATCGACGGGAAGAGAAAAGGGAGATGTAGCGAGGGGCGCAGGCACGTTACGAGAGGCCATGGCACCCGAAGCAGCTGAGGCCCGGTCACGCACTGATCGTCGCATTGAAGATGACGGTGTCGAGCTGGATGCCCCTCCGGAGGAGCCGAGGCGGACTGGCGGGAGAAGGCCGAACGGACGCGGAGGCTGCCCGGAATCGGCGGACGAGGGGGCAATGCTGCCTTTCCCCATCCAGGCTTGCCTAAAGGGTTCTTACTTGGCTAAAGGTTGGTGCCTCGGGGGGTTACTTTGCCCGTTGCCCGGAGGTTCCCCGGGTGCCTCATGCCAAGCGGTGCCAAGCACCGCGCCCATGCAATAGGAAACTTTCCCCTAGTCGGGGTCGCGCCGGGTTCATTTTTTTCTGGAGGGGGGGAGATGGGAGCGGACAACATGCTACCCCAGCTGGCGCCAAAACGTAGATGTCGCCACCCGCCGAAGGCTAGGTGAAAAGGCATTGGGATGGGCCTGGCGAGGTACTGCGAGGAGGCGATGCTGTATGGAAAGGTACGGTGAGGACGCCACTTGCTCGTTCATTTACTCGAGCTGAAGCTTGATTCTATGCTGCTTGTCACCAAGACTCCTGAGGAATCAAGAGACAATGCAATGCCCCTGCTCCGCGATCCTCGGATGATCGCTGAGACGCCTGTCAATCCCTCGGTGGCATCCTGGGAGGCACGTGGAACCTCGCAAAGAAATGTCTACGATCCAGTCATACAGGGGATATCATGCAACATGCAACAACTTCCTGGCGACCTCTGTCAACACGTGTCGAACGATTTCTGGAAGACCTAAGGATGGTTCCCATGTCTCTTCGCAATTTTCCCTGTTCTTGTCTTACCTTGGCTCGAGATCGGACAAGATAGTTTCCGCGTGTGCTTCGATGGTGGATCTGCTTGGCGAAACAATCTCGGACACGTGATCAAACTTGTCCAAACCTCGGCTCGCTCATCTCTGGCCAGTGCACCCCTGCATTGGTCCTGAACCAATCCAGCGTAGACCGCGAAAGATCGCCAACTTCAGGTTCTCATCTCCTCTACGCCCAAGAGGCGGTCATTCTTTCGCCTCTCGCGACGAGCTTCCCAAGCGTGCTGGCCAGCAAGAGAGTGACCCTCTGGTCGATCAGCTACGGTCGTGAACTTTTGCTCAGCGTGTCGCGGCGGCGGCCCTGGCGACACGCTACGCCCTGCTGCAAGCGGATAGCGTGTCGGCTCTCCATGGGGCGAGAGCCTCTGGAAAGCTCGGGACGTTGTCGTGGACTCGGATAGCGTGTCGCGCCGAAGCATGGTGGGCCAGAATCGGTGGAGCGACACGCTGAGCCAAAGTTCCTGACCGTGGTGAAGCATCTCGTTGGGGCCGTGCTGCGCTCGACGCTCCACCGTTGGCGCGTCGTCGTTCTTCGATTTGCGTGGCGATGCTTCTGCCGGGGCCCCCTTCGCGTGGCTGTGAACCACGAGTGTGCCAACGCCCTGCACTGTTCTCGGCTCGGCCTTCTGTTGAGTTCTCTGCACAGACAGCTCCCCTGCCAAAGGCTGAGACCAAGACCCCTCTCTGACAGACGAGTCGTCCGCACTCCCTGGGCCCTCCTGGGAATACCCCCTCGCAGGATCGAACAGGCAGGATTCAACGTGCAAGCCTGCCTGGGGATCCTTGGCCCCGATGCTGGACACCTCGGCGTGCCTCAGAAACCGTACGGGGGAGGCCGAAGCGCGAGCTCATCATCCAGTTCTCTGAGAGGGCCCGAGGTGCCGATGTCCACAGTCCCACCAGCCCTCTAGGGCGAGAGTGGTTTAGAACGCTTCCTCTTCCAACCCCCTTCTTCCCCTTCGGGGATGTGTTCGTTACTGTCCCCTGTTAGTGAACACCCTCTCCCCCAGGCGACGGGCAGCCAACCGAGACCAATGAGGAACCATCCCACCAGCCCTGTCAAAAAACAATGGTGAAGGAGGAGGAGGAGGAGGACCACGAGGAGGAGGAGGAAGAGGAGGAGAAGGTGGGGGAGGAGAAGGAGGAGGAGAGGAGGAGGAGGAGGAGGAGGAGGAGGAGGAATGTGCAGTCCACTTTGGGGTAACATCTTGGGGGCGCGAGCGCTGTGTATCGTTTGTTGACAGGGCCCGGCGGGGCTGCCCGCACATTGCCTGCTGCGCGCAGGGCCAGCACCCCTGTCAACAAGCAGTACAAACTGCACTTCGAGACAAACACCAAACAATACAACATGCATGTCGAGGCAATACAATATGCACTTCGAGGCAAAATGCATTTCGAGGCAAACTACAAAATGCGCGGGCACCCCCGCGATCACTGTGTATTGGTTTTTGGCTGGGACGGCGGGGGTGCTGCCATATTGCCTGCTGTGTGAAGGCTCACCAAGCACTGTGATGGCCACCCCGCCGCGATTGCGCACTCGTTTTCGACAGAGGTGGTGGGGGCCTACGCGTTTCCTGATGTGCACTGCCACGTGCGCAGGTGCACCTGGCACACGCTGCGCGTGCCCCGAACGTGGTGCACCTGGCGCGGATGGAGCATACGGCGCACCTGGAGCACGTGGATC